CAGCATATGAAAAACAGTCGCAAACGCACATCTCCGAGGTCCAGTTCCGCAGGGCACAGATAAATGACCGGCACGTGTAGGAAAGCGAAACAAAAGCCATCGTGACCCGGCAGTTATAATGCTATGCAGCACACGAAAGATAAGTGCAGAAATTTTCAAGGTCCAAATCCCCAAGGCACGATCCCCAAAGCACAGCGCGGTTGCTTGCAGATAAAATCAGCATATATTCCCATATAATATTATTTCCTATGCAATCCTTATGTAACCCCGGCATCTAGAGCTTTAGAATGATATGGCTACGCACGATATAATTCCGCAAAAATCGTCTCCTATTGTAAGACATCGAAGCGAAATCAATATTCTAAGGGCTGTGGTATCTAAACCTACTTAGAATATCAAACGAAAATCATACATGCCTCAATATTTCATGTCATTAAAGACCATATTCGAAAAATCATTTCAAATCTAATGTGCCCCGCTATTTATATCAAATCTATGCCCTCCAATAACGATGCTTGTAGATTTGCAAATGAGCCATTCCGCAATGCACAATGATTTTGGCGCGGGGCCATTGGGTTCGGCACACGAAATAACGAGGACCCAATAATCCAAAATAATCAAATAAAAAAATTTTCATATAAAATAAATTAGAATTAGTCCAATGCCTAGAGTCATAGAAAATATTTATATAATAAGATCTAGAATGAGAAATCTGATGACCAATTAATCTATAATATCATCTATAAATCCTAACGAATTATCAATATTTGAAGTCCATATTAATATCTTTTTTGCAACCAGGCATATCTAAATTCCGAAATATTTTATCATTCTATCGAAATGTCAATTATAAAAAGATAAATAAAAATATATTCCTTATTATTTCATATTAAATTTTCTTTAAAAAATTCTATATATCTATTTCTTAGATTAATTTCATTTTTTTCTTTAATTAATGTATATTTGAAGAATATCTATATTTATTAATTGAAAATGATTCTCTGCAATCAAATATTTTTTTTATTGATTCTATTTCCCGTAAATAATTATGTGTCAATTTGAAAGCTTTTGATTTCTAATGATATAAATATATCGATCGGCGTACTCTGATTGAAATGATATAATTCAATATTATAGCGCGGCCATTTGTAGCTATTTAGGTCGCACGCGCCCTAGAGTTTGGCTCCCATTTAAAATATCTCCTGCGGCCTCCCTAGATCTAAAATCTCGAAGATTTTAGAATCCTTCGGGTGCGGACGCTGCGACCAAAAATCTCGTAGATTTTTGGTCGCGCGGCCCTTGACTCCGGACTCTCTTTGGCTATCTGCTGGGTTGCCCGGCGGAACGCATAGAACCGGGATGGAGCACCAAAATCTTTTAGAATTCACAGGTTGGCCGTATCTACGAAGATTTATGCGCTCCCCCAAGCCGGCGCGCAAATAGCTCAAGAGAGATAGACCGGGCTGGATGAGGGGACCGCGCGACCCGAAATCTCCCGAGATTTCGAAGCATTTCTCTCTCTTCGGCTGTCTCCGCGGCGGCTCGGTGTAGACCCGGGGCAGACATCCAAAATCTTTCAGAATCTATTAGGTTGGCTGTTTTTGGTCACTTGCGGTCTTACATAATCATTGTTCGTCGGGATTCACGTGCGATCTTGTTCCGCGTGATTTTTCTCTTTTTGGTTGTCGGCGCGGCTGTTCGCAGGAGCGCGTAGACCCGGGACAGAGAACCAACATCTTTCAGAATCTATAGGTTGGCCGTGGCTGTTCACGGAGATTTACGCGCTCCCCCAAGCTGGCGCGCAAATAGCCCAAGAGAGATAGATGAGGCGGAAAGACCGGGCTGGATGCGGGAGCCGCGCGATTAAAGGGCCGCATGACCATAAATCGACAAGTGAAATGAATATACGTACGAAATATCTATATAAAATCCCGAGGAATCTGATATGGGAGGTTTTATTAGGTATTATCGTATTGTCTTTTGTCTTTTACAAGTACACGGGCAGCAAACCTTCGATGGGAGCGCGACAGATGTGGCAGGGCTGAGCAAGATCCACCAACCGTGTGGTGCACTCACGACAGGCTGTGTGGCCGCAACGTTGTAGCGCCACACGAATTACGACGTCGTTTTGGCAGATCGGGCACGCTGATGCAGACGCAGATGAATTTTCGCAACCTGCAGCCAGTGAAGACCCATGAAGAACTGGCAGAATGAAGCCCACCTTCGCCCTGTGCGCCCGGTGCTAGTGGTACTAGCGGGATCTGCGCCTTGGCGAATCAAAGACTCAGTGCACCAACAAAGCTGCAACTCTGGACAAGAAATTTTATGCTTGTTCCATCTTATGGAACGACTACTTCTGCGACAGCCTGTTGTAAACAGCAAGAAGACTCTCTCGCAGCAAGCGCGATGAAATGCCAATCAGGCAGCAAGTAAATATTCACATATTCGTTTTGACAAGTCCATAAGATCCGCAGAGCAACATGAAGCAGGTCCTTTGCTTTTCCTGGTGGATCTGATGGGGAGGTCAGCACACAGCGTGACGCGGCTTTTCGGCGGACATTGGCGCATGGCCTGCTTTTGCGTGCCGCCTTTGTTGCGTTTCATGGGTGCCAAGCTGTCGGCGTGCAAAAATCATACGATATTGCCACGAGTCAAGGCTGGTAACGTAGTCTTGGGGCAAAGTGTAGGTTGGGGTTCAGGGCCCGGGGTGAGCACAGACTCCCCTGGGACGTGAAATTCAAACTGAAACTCTACACGTTTGGAAGCCCACCTGCCTACAAAAATAAGTCAGATGAGTCAGCAAGCCAATAGCATCCAGTATCAAGGAAATGGCTGCTTACTGAGCATCGAGCGAGTTGGGTCCGCAGTTCTTGCGTGCGCGCCTCAGAGCTTTAGCATTGCACCTCTGGAGTCGTCCTGCATATGTGGCCTGTGCAGCAGCACGCTCCGCGCGTCGCTGTTGCAGCTCCTGTCTTGGGGCACATGGGCTCGGAGTCTCATTGGGTCTGGATCCCTCCCCTCCTCCTGGGCCTCTCTTCTGGCGAGGAGCAGGGCACGCTGGCGCCCAAACCCGCCTCATAGCCCGAAGCTGCGTCTCTCGTCTCGTGTCTCTTGGCACAAGGTCCAAAGCTAGTCTGAGGCCCGCACCGTGGGCTGCGCACTGCTTTAATACGCACATGAGGAAGAGCAAAGCAAACCTGGTGCACATGCAGGGTGGCGGACTGGTGGCGGGCGGCTCGTGAGGTGCTTTGCAAGGCTCCCTGGCTGGGCGCGCCGCATAACCAGAATGATGAACTGCCCTGCGACTCAAATTTCCCGCGAACCCTCTCGAAGGCCAGCTTTCTACATACACAGCATGGCAAGCACTGTTGTTTGCATCAGTACTGCATGCGTGCTGCATGGGGCGAGAAGTATGACTAGGGATGTCTGCAAGTGTGGATGTGTGTGCATTTGAAACCATCGCCTGCAGTGCCCAAACCCTCCGCGTCCCTCAACGTCGAAAGGCCTCGAAAGGCACACAAACTCACAAACCAGGATGGCCTGCTCCATACGACCGTGCATGAGCTGCAGCCTTTGTACGTGCAGCGGAAATCCGGTATGTTGCGCAAGTCACCTGGCAGGTTGCATCAGGAAGCTCTGTCCCTGCTCAAAGGCTACGATTTCCCAACCTGCATAGTACCAGCAAAGCAGAACGCCCGCGCACTCTGCACCACTGCCTGTACATTTCTTGCTATCAATTGCTGCCGTAGGTCTTAGTGGTGCGCTCGCCTGGGCAATCAAAGGCCACTTGCGCATCCTGAGCAGCCACGGCGATGTCGTGCATTGGGTACAAGACTGGCCCACGCGGAGCAGCGTAGTCCAGTGCCTGCACCTTTCAAGTAGCAAACAGAGGCAAATACACCAGTGGCCAACTTGGATACTTGCAGTCATTGCGGCCAAGTAGTGTTCGGAAAGCTGCCAACAAAACGTGTCCGTTCGTCACTGCAGACTACGCAAAAACCTTTCTGCCCACTCCCGATGGATAGCTTTCCTCTGTCTGGCCCACAGCCTCCAGCTTGCCGCTCGGCGAATTACCTGATGCTGAAGCATGGCCAGTTGGCCTTTGCAACTTTGATGTTGGTTCTGGAGACTGAGGGAGTAGGGCTACCTGGTTTATAGACAAATGCCTGACAAGATACTGAGGAGCAGCAGCAGTCCACTCTTGGCAACCAGCGCCACCTCGCCCAAGGCTATGCCCAGCAGTGGAAGCGCGGAAGGCAGCCGCGGAGCGAAGGGCCAAAGGGGCTGCAGCAGACGACGCAAACGCGATCGGATGGGCAGCTCACTGCTCACAGCGCTGGCAGGTTGTGAGTAGTTCCAGCGCACTTCGGCACCTCCACGCTCCAGCCAAAGGGACACGACCTCGCTGCCTCCGTGGCATGCTACGGCCTTAGCCGGCGAACATGGAGGAGCACTCTCCGCACAACTCAATCTCGCCATTAAACCTCATAAAAAGCCCTTCCGAAAGAGAGCGAGGGGCTTTGCCAATAAGATTATTCTACTTCTAGCTGCTCCTAGTATGCGTTTGCGCGAGTGTCTCTGCCCGAAGCTTTGTTCTACTGTCTCAGCCCAGAGATCATAGCTTGCATCGATGCGGCCTGCTCTTAGATCCGTGGGACGACTTCCCTATACATGTTGAGCAAGATCAACTAGTGACTAGCTTGTGGCAATGTCAAATTCAGAACCATCTATCTTGATCTTAAGCTCAAAGGGTCGAAGACATGATTCCACCTTCATTCAGCTTGTCATTTGCCATTCTGGGATTCTGAGCTGAATCTTCGGATATCTTCGGTGACCAAGTTCAGACCCACTGCAGCTTCAGTCCTGAGATGCATCGACCAGCATGTGCTAAAGTCCTGTGGTCCTCTGCCACAGCCGTTGGCAGCAGCTGCTGTTGGAACGGTCCGGCCAAACCAGACTCGTCACCATTCCAGACCAAGGGCGGCTGATTTGATTGAATTTGGAGGATGCTCCGCACGAGAGCGCAATTTTTTAAAATAAAATATATTTTACTTCGAGCATCCCCACCCTAAAGCCGTTATTGCACAAGAAGTATAATATTTCCCTGCCACCCTCAACTGTATTCCTTGCAGCACTGCAAATGCACTGCAAGAATATTGATATTCCGGTTTTGGACACTGCAGGGAAAGTCTGCGGTTGGGCATTGCAGGGACACTTTGCGGTTGGGCACTGCGAGGATACTTAGTGGTTGAGCATTGCAGGGATACTTTGCGGTTGGGCAGTATAAGGATACTCTGCGGTTGGGCACTGCAGGGATACTGCGTGGTTGGTCACTAAAGTCAGCTTCCAGTCGGGCGAGGATAACATTTCCTTTAAAATCTAACAACCCCACTGCGAGGGTGGGGAATGATCATTTTTCCGAATGCTCCGCACGGGAGAGTCATTTTGATAGAATTTGATGAAGATAAATCGACGAAATTTCGAGGATGTCTCGGGCGAGAGCGCGATTTTTGAAGATACGAAGATGATCAAAACATTAACGACTTGTCTCGCGCGGGAGCGCAATTTTTGAATGTTTACAGGGTCCGAAAGACGCAAAATCTTGAGGATCTCGCACGGGAGCGCAATTTTTGAAAATCAGGGGCGCGACCGGTTCGCGTCCGGACCCCTCTACCAAGAGCACTTTGAAGGCGATGTCTGTTTTTGTTCATCGTAAATTGTAAAAATACGCCAATGTTTTGAGGATGTCTCGAGCGAGAGCGCCGTTTTTTAAGCGAACAAAGGCGCGTACCAAATGTTTGCGCGACGGAAGAGCACGCGGATGTCGGCGCGCGATGGCGCAGTAAACCCCAGTGAATGTGGGGAATAAATTGTTGTGTGTGAGAAAGATTCTGTGTTTCATCAATGGTGATGAAACGGTTATGGAAGAAGCTGAAGCCTGTAACTCAGGACCTAACCCTTCCAGGGGTCAGCAAGTGTGTCTTCGATCGGATTTCTGTCAAAGCTGCTCCAGAATGCTGAGAAGATTGTAATTCTAGAACTAACTCCTCGGGGGTGAGCAAAGTGTGTGTGTGTGTGTATGTATCACTGCTAGTACTCAGCATATTTAAGGAAGTTCCTTGAAATATCTTGAAATGTACAGTCCAGGCAAAAAAAAATCTTGCCGTTTGCCCAGCTTGAAGCTTTGGTTCTGACACAGTGCACCTAGCGGAAGAAACAACATGACTGGGGACTACTCCAAACGGAGAAGCTGTGCCTGCTCGCACGCGCTGTGGAAACTCCAGGGTCAGTACTGTGAAACGGAACATAATATCAAATCAACATGTTAGCTTATGCACCGTTCTATGACATTCCAAACCGCAGCGGTTGTCTTGCAAGTCAGCCAAGAAGCACCCGACAGGTTCCAAGAGGATGCAGTTGACAGGGTGTGTGAGTTTGGGCCCGATCTCCAGATGAGCACTCTTTTTAGTTGCAGGACTTGAGCCAAAAGCGCCGCGCGGCTTGCCTCAAATTAGTGTCATAACTCAGGTTCTTGTACGGGTGCCATTGACAATTTGACACAGCCGAACTTAGAGCATTCCGCGGAGTCCGCTGCCCTATAAGGCAAGCCAGGGTGGAGAGTGACAATGGCCAGTTTGCTTCCAATCTGCCGTGCGCGGGTGCTTCTGAACGGTACAAGTACCAGTATAAAATTCTGCCACCTTAATGCCTGACTCAGGTCTGTAGTGAGGCTTGCGTGGGCTGTTGCATATGATTCTTGTCGCCAAGCACCTTCTAGTTATCTTAGTTCCTCAAGAGTATATGACTGTTTGCTGCCTGGAGGCTGCGCTGATGCCGTCTGCATGAAAATCCAATGGATCTGGCAAAACTGCAAGACATAGGCAGGCTCAGGGCGGGCTGTGCAGTACACATGCCTGACGTGCCTACTGGGCGACTTGTATTCCAGGCTTCTCCCAGGAAGTCCAAGAAGGGGCCTGCCACTCTCCCGTTGCTAATCCGAAACCTCCAACGCGCCAACAAGTTTCAGCAATGCAGCGGACCTGTCCCTGAAGCATTTCCCAGCCAGAGCGCCCAAAGCGAGTGTGGGCCACACCTCATGTTCGAAACAAAAAAAGAGCACCTCAGCTCAGCATTCCTCAGCCCCAGACCAAGCTAGCTGCGGGAGCCTCTGCGCAGAATTTGCATGGAGGACAGCGGCAGCTGCAGGAAGTCGAGCACCAAGGCCGCGGCCAGGGCGCTGGCAAAAGGCGGCTGAAAGCAGGCAAGTGCAGGCAAGGCTACAAAGAAAGAAACCTTCTATCATGTTTCTATCCCTTGGCCTTTGACTTCTTCCCTGTGTGGGCAGTGTGGGCTGAGAATACACTGGCCTGGTCAGCTCCAGTGTGGGGCCACAGGATGGAATCGGGTTCGCCGCGTGGATTTGAATGTCGCACCGCTGCAAAGCAGCACCCCAGCCTTCCACCTCACAGGGAATGATTTGCGCAAAGCTGCTGGCTGCAGGTGGCACGTGGGCCAATTCCAGCATCCCGCATGAAAAAGGTGTTGAGTTCCACATCCTCGGGAAACACGGCTATGAGGTGCTTGGCCCGAGACGTACTGTTCCTAAAATGAAGGAGATCAATATAGGGGCCCATAGAGACCCGTATTTACTGGCCACCACTATAGGCACCCGTCTTATCGCGAACGTAGGGGAAATCCCCATTTGGTCCCTGGTCCCGCCCCATCCTGCCAGGTGCTCCAAGCCACCAATACGCCAGCCCCTGCAAGAGACAGCTCGCACGTCACTTCGAAGTCAAAATCTAAGGCCCCGCCTTCTGCTGAGGCTTCTGCCGGGGCCAGGCGCACAGCGCGACTTGTAAGCACACCCGGCATCTGCGCCGAGGCCAACAGCAAAGGGGCCCCACCAGCCAGCCTCCCTGTCAGAGCATCCACCAGAGCCAAGTAAAGCGCCCCATCACTTACGGAGACCACGGCAAGCAACTTACCATCAATGGCGACAGCCGCGGCCAGGCCGTTGCCCTCGCGTTCAAATGCCTTGGAGGAATTCAAAGTGAAAGGCCCGGCGCTGGGCAGCGTTCCGCAGCCCCCGGAGCCGCCCTCCTTGGCGTAGCTCTGCAGCCGGATGTCTGTGCCATCCTGCACGCGAGATGAAGAAGAAACGGAGGAGCGTAATAAACAAGGAGTTCAGCCGGCCTGCCATAGCACCAGCAGCCGCTCTTCAGTGGCCACGGGCACCAGGCGAGACTTTTCTGAGCGTGCTGGGAACTGCAATGAGCAGTCGGCGCCCACCAAAGCACAAAAGACCCAAAAAAGAAGTGCAAGCGTCAAAGGCCATGCTGGAAGCATGGCGCTGTTCGTGTAAGGACCGCTATGGCATGCTACACTGTCCAAGTGCGTGGGGTGCATGCGGGAGAAACACATGATGACAGCCTCATACCGTAAGCTTCGCTTTAGGATGCTTTAGGTAATGACACGACCTCTAGCATTCCGCCGCAATTAACATGCAAGCCTATTGAATTGCGTCTTTTGCATCTGCACAGCGTGCAAATGGCGGCACGCTATAGGCAAGGACCAAGCAGGTACAACTAACAAGCCCCAGAAGATGCAAAGGAAATGTGCTTCCGCTGAACAAGGTTTCACTTTCCACTACCTCACTCTTCAGCGCGGGAGGCTGTACCGAATCTAGATATATATATATATATGTTGCATCTCACAAATCTAAGGACCAGTGCGCGCCAAGTATGCTGTCTTCCTACGCTGGTGAGTTTCCGAGATCTCACTCTTCCTCAAGCCGGCTGCAGCGCACAGGAGTGCTGAAAGCCTAAAATGCCGTCTCAAGATTGGATCGGCATGCTTTCTCCAATGTCCACTGATTTACCCTGTATATCAGCCTCTTT